TGAAAAAGAAAAAGTCATTGTATAATTTACAGTGAAAAAACGTAAATTGACACTCCCAGAATTCCCTGGAAGGCCCTTCAAATTTGATGTTTTTTTTTGTTGAAATAACATGTCTCTTCTTAGTTTTTCTTATCAGTTGTGTACACTAGGGTTTAATCTTACATCTAATGTTGTTAAATTAATGTTTATTGCATTTTGTCACCATGATTTTTACCGTAAATGTCACAGTTTTTTTTTTACAGTGTATGGTTCAACTTGTAGTCACATAAATTCACTACTTTTATGGTTCTTCAATGCCACAGACCCCCAAGATCATGCCTAAAATGCAGCTACATATCAGCTATAGATTTTCATGTATAAAAATCGAATTTATACTGTGAAAAATATGTATTATAAATGTGCAAAATATTATTTGTACAATACTTTATAGTTATAGTTATTTCTTCTACTCAATTTAGTACTATACTGTTATATGCATTGTTTATTTCTTTGTTAATCTATTTTTTATTAAGTAATTTTAATGAAAATATACAAATTAATAATAAAATAAACATTTATTTAATATGTATTCTAATATTTATTATTATTATTTTGTAATTAATCATTTATTTAAAGTTTTCATAATTTATTTAATCAAATTTTTATTAAGTAGCCTATTTAATGGTTGTTTTATTATGTGTTTATTTTAATCTTAATTTTATATTCATTTTTTCATTATTTACAGTGTTTCCTCTAAACTTTTCTATGGAATCCCAGCACTTTGGGCCGCCTGGGGGTTCCCGTGCCCCGATTTGAAAACCGCTTTTCTATGGTACATTTTATCCTTTTATGAGCTTGACAATAACCCAAGGTCGTCACTTTTGTTGAATGGAAAAGAGCAGTTTGGTGTTCCTACAGAAAAAAATAAAGTCAAATGAGACATAAGAGTAGGGTTGGGTATCGTTTGGGTTTTTTACGATACCTGTGCCAAATCGATACTTTTAAAATGATACCGGTAACTAAACGGTGCCTGAACTGATATGTAAAAAAAAAATAGCCGCAAAAGGTCGGTGGATGACATTAAAGAATGGCTTTTTTATTGAAAAAAAAAAATCTTAAAATTGCACAATATATTAAAAATTTTAAGTATACGAAAATATACAAATATAAGTAAATACAAAATACAACAAATTTATATAAATTCACAATAAAACCTAAGCCACGTAAGCCAACTATAATAATTTAACACTAAATAACAGTTACAGTACTAATAACAGCAAATTAGTCCGAATTATTGGCAGGAATGCATCAATACAGTTAACCCACGCTTCAATATATACCTTGGTTTTTAAACTGATTTGCAATTTAAAATGTGATTTTTAAAACAAATTAACAAAGAAAATCCTGTACACTGGAGAAAAACATGGATTATCATATGTCTACTTCAAAATTATTTTGAGAGAAGTATTATTATTCCTATTTTTACCCAAAATAAGATGAACTGGCCATTATTGAGCATTATATTGTCAACATAATGCCAGAGGGTGCCTTCATGCAGAAACTACACATATGCATCACAGAAGTAATAGAACTCATGACGCTTCAGGAAATCCCTAATTTGGACAAAGGCATCGCTGTCGCTGTAAATGAATAAGAAGAACATAGAAACGCTTTGAATACTGAAACATGAAGACAATAAACACTTGACTGTGACAATGTATTTTCAGAATAATTAGGCCCAGATATAATTATAATACATTGCTAATCGACATTGCTAATCGACTTAATGCTTTTAAGTCTGAATGTGAAAACAACATGGACACTAACAAAGATGTGTTGGATTTGTATTATCAGAGCAATTGTATTAATTGCTTTCACATGAATTTTCTCAGTCAGGATTTTTTTTTTTTTTTTTTTTTTTTGAAAAAAAAAAAAAAAAAAAAAAAAAGTAAATGATGACAGTATTTTCATTTTTGGTTGAACTAGCCCTTTAAATCTTAGGTTTAGATTGGGTATAGTGTTCATATAAAACTAAATTATGACTGTTCTTTGTGCATGAAACCATGACTTATTAAAAGTGGACTTCAGGGAAACAATAAAATGATATAAAATGTAGGACATGACCTCCTTAAAGGACAGAATGAACCTTCTACCCTTCATCCACATAGAAAATGCACAAGATCTCACCTACTGGCTAAGCTGACTAGTAGATCAGAGCACTTCACTGCCCCTTCCTGCTGCTTATTCTGACACCACATGAATGCAGAATAATTTAACTAGCGATCACATGTGGTTACGATCCTGTATATGTCAGTTTCAGAGCACCAGAGGGCAAATATTTCAATGGACAGCTCAGGCATTTAAGTGGCACCAAAATGAGGCACCGAAATCTGCTTTCTGATTCGGTCCGGTACATACCGGTCATAAAGGTACCAGTACCATATTGGCACCGGGTTTTGGTACATTTTGGTTCATTCAACCATTAAACCTTTCTACATCTTAAGTGTCTCCTCCCCTTTTCAAAGAAATCTCTGCTTCAGCAGCAAGAGGTTAAAAAAAGCAACACGCCACAATCTCCATGCGCTCCAGTGCCCTTATCCTTGGCCGTAATTAGTGCCGAGAGCTGACTGCTGCGCCTCTGGCGATCTCCATGCCTGAATAAGGTGGATGTTTCCCCTTCGCCGCAGAGCAGAGGAGAACACCACAGTGACAGAAGGCAGAAAGAGATACATCTCTCTAACAACAGCCACGGGACAGTTTATGAAGGCATATAAGGACAGGGTCAATCCAGAACAGGCTAAGCTCAGGGAAAAAAACGTGTTGTAACGACAGAGTTTAATTATAGTCTGCAGGCAAACTCTCGAGACGTGCCCTCACGAAGCAATCATCCGTGACCCAGGAACAAAATATGCTGCCCTGTCACTTTGGTCAAACTATGTTATTGGGTCAGATCTGTATCTCACACAGAATCAGTACTCATTTGCATAACGTTAAACTCAGCTTGTCACAGTAACTAGACTGTCACTACGCCACATTGTTAGAAATTTAACAAAACCTTACAGAATCCTAAATACTGCCACATAACGAATTAATAACTCCAACTACAACACTGTAAGTATATCCAACTGTACCCACAAATATACAGTACGCTCATGTAAAGTGATATATTATATAGCAAATCTCAACTGCTTGATTGTTTATATCTGTGCAAAATGTAATCTATATCAGCGCACAGCAATATATTTTAAGTTGGATATTTAGTACATCCAACTTTCACATACATACGCGCACATAAAGTGATAAATACTATATAGCAAATCTAAACTTACGTTGTGTAATTGCTGTGTGAACACCCCTTTAAAACTGACCCCAGGTCCCCTTCATGATATAATGACCCACTTATATTAAGGTAAAATTATGTAAGTAGTTCATTTTTGGTGGGAATATCTACAGCAACACAGGAACTGAGGCAAAAAAAGGGCTGAAAAAATGATCAGTTGCATTTACTTCCTGGTTTTTTTTCATTGGGTTTTTGGTGAAATGCCTGAAATAAGGTCTGTGCCAAACACAAGTTCATAATATTTTCCCATTTTATTCTACAACATATGATACATCAGTAATACCTCACTCCAGAGGTATTACATCAGTAATACCTCTATCTAAATGGGACTACAACATCACAAAACCAGTAAAACTTGTCCACTTTTGAAGACTTTTTGTGTGTGTATAATTGTGTGTATAAACTATTGTAACTCGTACTTTTCAACTTTTTCGATGCTGGATAAGATTTTAAATAAAGATTGTAAGGGTTGTTGGAAGTTTGTTTATAGCCAACATTTGGCTTTTTACTTCTGGCAATTATACTGTATTTAGGCTTCAGAATTCATAAAAGTTGTATTCTTTTATGTAGATTATCATGAATAACAAAACATGTAAAAATCATAAACTTTTGTTGGTCACAGAGTTTATTTTCTGCAGTAATCCAAAAGCCAATGGAAAAATTATTTTTGCTTTTTGTCGAGGAAGCCAGGATGTGAACTTACAAAAATATGTCATCCCTGCAGCACTTTGTGTAGTTGCTCTATTTTTCCTTTCCATGGCAGTATCGGCTGACTAGAAGAGCTGCTGTTGGTCGTCATGGAGATCAGCTCAGCAACCACATTGACTAAATTCTCTTGATTGCACCCACAGAACCATTCCATCCGTATATCACACATCATACACCCAGCTCACCAAAATATATCCGATTTGGATGCGGATTAAACTGCTTGCCTCTCTTCCCTTCACGTGCTCCAGATTTCCACATGGAAATCCTTCCCAAGGGACCCACAAGAGCCGAGGCATCTGCATGATGAAGCGGCCGGTATGCAGGCTGTTCATGGCTTCATCAACACAGCAATGGCTATATGATTCAGTGTCTCGAGATGCCTGGAGGAAGTGACATTTTGTCAGCGCTGGCCTGACGGTGACCTCCGCGACCTGCCGAATCAAAACCAAGAAGAGGTTACAGCCTGTGTGATGGAGACAGGAGACATGAAGTAAATGCAGTAATTTAACTTCAACAAGCTTTTAACATCCAATCATAAACAACCCACACATTAAAAAAAAACTTTGCTGTATGATGGTTGTTTGAATGAATTCAAAGTCTTAATTAGTTTAAGCACAACTAGAAAATACTTTCTATTGATTATTATGATTATGTTGCTCTTTCATAGCAATTAACGGAATAATTTATCTCATGTTGTTTTTTATGCAACACAAAAAGAAAATATTAGAAGAATCTTTGTCTTTTCCATACAAGGACAGTTCAGACATTAAAAAAAATAAAAGTCATAAAACTCAGAATAGTAGTTCATATGATAGTAGTCCAAGTCATATGACTACTCGTATTACATTTTTGGAGCTTGACAGATGAACATGTAAATTAGCTCTCAGCAATGACTAAAATTTTTACTTTTCTGTGTCATTGTCTTTTCTGTCATTGTATTTTACTTTTCTGTAATTCCTTAGAAGTAAAAGAGACACAAATGAACCAATAGTTGTCAAAGTAACATTATTGATCTATAAAATAAATTAGATGAATTAGAAATGTTTGAGTTCATATCGAGATATTTTGATTACACATTTGTGTTATGGCAAATCTGTACTGAAGAAACATCCGACAAGGAGACTTAAGTAATCGTCTCCATTTAACCTCACTGCACTCTTAAACAAAAGAGATATTAGGGGTTAATTTATGATCATATCTGTCAGGGTTTGGGTAGAGGGATGAGGCGAGGACTCAGTACTGCAGAAAATGGGCTTTTTAATTATACAAATAAACAAAACAGCAACAAAAACTACCCAGAGGGGGAAAAACAGGCTGGCACAACAAGGCAAGATCAGGACAAGGCTGGCAGGACACGACTGGATACATGCGATGTATGATGATGAACTGGCAGGGGACTGCAAACACAAGGAGAATAAATAGGGAGCAAATGAGGAGGTTAACGAGGGAACACAGGTGGGGCAAATTAACCAATAATCAGGTAACAAGATGGGTGGGGTCAAGACAATTGACATGAGAGCACATGGCACACAGGAAACAAAGACAAAAGCCATGTGCTCACACAAAACAAAAACACAAGCACATGGCCAGCAAAACAATCACAAGCCATGTGCTTGAACAAAACAAGACACGAACACAAAGCTAATGAGAAAACTCATAAGCCGCGTTTTCACACAAGACAAGACAGCACGCAGCCAGCGAAAATCGAGCTGCGTGCTACACAGCACAAGACAAAACAGGACATGAAAGCACGCAGCCGATAACACAAGCTGTGTGCAACAACAACACAAGACAACAAGAAAAAAACGCGGCCGAAAACAAACCGCATGCTACACAAAACACAACACACTTGGACAGAAGAGTGCACGGCCAAGCGAACTCGAGACTGCACGCACCCACAACAAGACAGAACATGGAGCGCAAGTGTCCGGACCCCGACACAAAACCGAAACTCAACAAGACATGAGTGCCGGGATCCGAACAGCACGCTCCAACATGAAACAGGACACGCAGTCGAGAGCGCACGGCTCGAGCACTCTTGAAGCCGCGCACTTACATGAAAATAAGACATGACGGGAGTGTCAGGGCTCCATGAAATAACCATGAATAACACTAGACCGAAGTGACAGATCCCTGACAATATCTGTCTGACTTACTGTGTATGTGTGTTTGTGCACGTGTATTCATGTTAGTCAATGAGTGTGAAACCGTACATAGAGGGAGAACATTGGGGAATAGCTGCCTGCATCAGGACCGCATGTGAGAAATAGTGTGATGGCGCAAGACAGGCAGGGAACGGAGGGTGTGAGTGGGTGCTGTGCAGCTCAGCCTCGATCTTTCTAACAGCTGCAGGCCACATTCTCCATATTCAGCTTTCACGCTGCCCTCTGATAACACGGGTCACATCAGAGGCACCTGTGGTGACCGAGCGCTGAAAGAAACACATCAATATGAAATAATCCCCAAACATCAGATTCTCTGTCCAGGGCTTCACGCCAATCCTCTTTCACATATATGTGTCAGCAAAAACACGCCGCAGTGTTACATAAGCAGCCCTCTGCCAGCTTCACAAATACACTGCATCCAGAAGAGAGGCAGAGAGAGAGAAAGTAAAGAACAACGGACAGAAAAAATGACAAGCAGAAAGAAAGAATTACAGGGAAAAAAACAAGACAAAGAAAAGGATGACAAATAAAAGAGCAACAGAAAGAAAGAAGAGGATGAGCGAAAGAAATAAAGACAGAAAAAGAGTGGCAGAAAGACAACAACAAAGAAAGAGACGGTAAAGAGATATGGTGAAAATCAAAGAACAAGAGAGAGACCAAAAAAAGAACACCAGACAGAAAAAAAGACAGAAAGAAAAGAACAACAGACAGAAATACAAGAAAAAAATGACTGACAGAAAGACAAAAGAAGGTAGACAGAAATAAAAGAAAAGAACAAAATACAGAAAGAATGACAAATTCATACAAAAAAAGAATGACAGACAGAAAGAAAGAAAAAACTGACAGGAAGAAATGACAAACATAAAAGAACGACAGACAGAAAAAAAAGAAAGGCAGAAAGAAACAAAAGAGTGAAAAAAGAATGACCGAAAGAAAAGACAGACAGAAGGAATGACAGAAAGAGACAAACGAATGACAGACAGAAAAAAAAAACAACAGACAGAAAGCAAAGAAGAACAGAAAGAAAAAGAAAGCAGAAAGACAACAACAGGCAGAAAGACAGACAGTCTAAATGAAAGAGATGGTAAAAGGATACGGGAAAATAGAAGGAACCAGAGCGATGGGGCTTTTAGGGGCATGATGGGTAATTGGAAGGAGGGAATAATGGGTAAACCATTTGCTATGGCTAGACGGTAACCCTCGTTCTGTGGAAACCCGAGAGCGCATTCGCTTCTACCAAGGGATTACCAGGTTTGGGTGAGCATTAATCTATACCAGAGGTGTCCATTC